ACTTCGGGATTTTGTAGGACAATCTCAGCTTCCGCCTGTGAGTAGAATGTTACTAAGACGGGTTTGTTTTTGCTTCTGGAGTTAAGTCTTTTAGTGTTAGCTACTCTGATATTTAAGCCACACGAATGTATAAAATTTTGAATTGATGGCATCGGATTAACAGTGTGGGGTATATTACGGATAATTAAATTGAGCCTGCGTTTCGATCTATCCGCGACTTCTGACGAAACTAAGTGTATAATCGATTCAATTTGTGGTAGGCTCGTTAGGTTGTTCGTGAATCTATTTGAGTCTGTTAGTGAATCGAGAATCGTAAAAATATGTTCATGTTTCTCGATGAACTTCTGTAAACGGACGATGGCCGAAAGATCTACTTTGTCGACAGCACACGTAACATCAGTCATGGTTAAGTGGGGAGAGTGTAATGGATTTATGTGTTATTTTCGACAGCTAATAAAAATCGACGCAAAATCGACAGAGAAATATGTCAAATATTTCAGTTATAAATGAATTTCAACTTATCTCGAGTCTAAGGATTTTGAACGGTTGTGCACAAACGGGCTTGGACCTAGTCGTTTGCATTGTCATGCTTACTTGTATGCCTCGAACGAGTATATAACACTGTGCTCGTTAAAGATGCACAGCAAAGATCTTCAAGCCTTTTGATTGAGGGAATAAAGCTTCTGCCGTTGAGCTCCCTATTTCCATCTAAAATAGCAATAGAATCAGTTTCCACAGCTGCAATGCTGAAAATTGTAAAACAATTTACATGTGCAGTACTTCCGCAGTAAATGAGTATCTAGTTTGCATTTAGATGCTTTAACAGTTTGTGAATGGACTATCACGTCAGAGAAGCGTTCATTGCTCCAAAGACCCGCTGTGAGAAGGCGTTCCGTCGGACGTCCGTATGGACCAACGTCCTCTGCATTTTAGTGAGATGCCTACGTAGACAGTCCGTCCCAGCCAATTCGAAGAAGTCATCAAAGTCTAGAACACACTCACGGCCTCTGACAATCCGGCAGGTTTGAATGAGGTCGCCGCACCGTTGCCTCTAGTTGAGGGGAAACAAACTAAGTTACTGCAGTCTGGTTTCATAGGACATATGACCAAGGTAATTGACCACCTTCGTAGCGCTCGACTGCACTCGTCACAGCTGTTGATAATCATTCGTAAACCACGGACGCCATACTCCAAACGAGACCGAACGAATAACCCGTAAGTTTTTCCGAACATTCCCAATCGATCCTCATGAATTCTCATTGCAGCGCAAATAGCACCCGTTTCGCGCGTTTAGCTGCCTTCGACACTGACAATGGTTCAAGTAAAGAGACTATCAGAACAGCGAGATCCTACCGTTTCTCAACATTTGAAAAGAGCTGACCATCAAGGAAGTATCGGAAGGAGTCATCCTCTTCATTTGTTCTTCTGGTACGGAGTCTTATGACCGCACATTTGCCAACGTTAAGATGTGATAGCCAACGAGTAGACCAGCTGCTGAGTCGGTTCAGACTCTCTTCAAGTGTGTGTCTGCCTGCGTCAAACCTGATGGCTCTGGACAGTTTGACATCGCCAGCAAACGCGATGGCTCTGCAACCCAGGTCGTCGAAACATTCGTTGATTTGGATTCGGATGAGAAATAGCCCTAAGGCTGAGTCATTTGTGACACCAATTAGATCGGGTAGTAGGAGTTGACTCAATGCACACTGTTTCGTTATCGTTTGGGACGCTGTCGAACGCCCTCTTGAGATTTGTATAGATGACGTTACCCCTGGCATCGTCGTCCAGTTCTCGAGTTCACTGCTCAGTCGAGAGCAATAACAAAAGTGGCTCTGTTTGCAGCTGCGCTGGAGCCCCATGGATAAGTAATTTTCCTTCAGGAAATTTATTGCCACCTACGTACATACTTTTTCCTTTAATTTATGGAAAATTTTTGTAAGGTTAGCGGGTCGATAAGTGTTAGTGTTAGTTCGGACCCCACCCATACATGCCGGGTAGATACTGGCTAACTGCGATCGAAGTGGAGCTTCCCTAGTTCAACTGACGAATGGCTGATATGCGCTAGAGGTTTGGAGAGTTGGTTCGCCAATTCTTTCAAGAATTTGGCGGCTATATTGTCGAGATACGATGACTTTGCTTCATTTACATCCTGCATCTCACTCCCCAAGAGAGTTGCGGAGAAGTATATGCATTTAAGCACCGTATTGCGGCTACAATAGCATTGTTCACATTGTGAATCTGGAACTGAATTTTTTAGTGCATGCCTAGGAAATGAGGCGTTCCAAGTGTTAGGTTTTCTCGCCGTATTCAACAACTTCTACACCATTAACGTCATAAAATGCTGCAACTTGGTCCTTGTTTTTCATTTGGCTGTTAATATAGTTGGATAAAATTGCAACATTTTATTCAGCCTGCCAGATAATTATTGATTCAGTGTCCTTCCTTGCCTGATAGAGGCATTTTTTGACCGCATGCCGCTGGCGACAAAAATCCTCGATTTGTTCTAGTGATGCAGTTTTCCTGACTATCTTTAAGTTTCACTTTCATTTTTTAACTGCCTGTTAATGCCCCTACTCGTCCAGGTGGAGCGATAAGTAGTTTTTTTACTTTCTCTGGTCAACAGCATCGAATCAGATATAGTGAGATCGTCTTAAACGATTGCCAGTCGTCCTCTGGATTCCTCTTGAGCAGACAGTCCCAGTTCGCGGACATAAGTTCGTTCTTTATGTAAAAACCTGCCTTCCATATAGTCCCCCGGCGTTCCGTTTTCTTCTGGCGTTGAGAGTAGAGCGAGTAGTCCCACAGTAGCGTTGTATGGCCAATCCTACCAAAAGGAGCACTGGAATACACTTCGTCAGTGTTGGGAAAGCCTTTCGTATATGCCTATTTAAGTCACAGTCCGCTAGTCGGGTTTGGGTACTAACGCCGCAGGATTTATTTAAAACGCGTAAAAGTGTTCCTGAAATCAAATAAAACCGCAACTGGAGTAAGCAAATATTTCACGAATTTTCTTAAAGGTATATGATCAAAATGCTTTAGATAATCGGTATTCAGGGATCAGAAATCTTAACATATTTAGCCACCAACAATCGGGGACCCTGTATTGGCGTGTGTTGTTTATTTGAGCTGGGCATGCAGATGTCCGGGACCAATCCATTTGAATTAAATGGCTACCAGGTGTTTTTTCGACATCAGCATTGGCGGTTCGCCCGCTGGCCGGATAGTATTTGAGGTACAAGTTCTGTTTTCTGACAGTCGTATAGCTCTTCGCAAACGATGTGCCAAAGACATCTGAGAACTTCCGCGCTCTCTGCACCGGCGAGAAAGGATTCGGTTATAAGAACTCTACATTCCACCGCATAATCCCCGGATTCATGTGTCAGGGTGGTGACTTTACCAACCACAATGGCACTGGCGGTAAAAGCATCTACGGGGCCAAATTTGCGGACGAAAACTTTAAGTTCAAGCACGACAGACCCTTCCTACTATCCATGGCCAACGCTGGGCCCAATACAAACGGTTCTCAGTTCTTTCTCACGACTGCCGTGACGAGCTGGCTGGATGGCAAACATGTTGTCTTCGGCCAGGTGGTCGAAGGTCAGGATGTCGTCAAAAAGATGGAGGCCACTGGATCGCAGTCTGGTAAGACATCGAAGACTGTCACTATTTCTGACTGCGGACAGCTTTAGTTCGTTTCGTATTGCACCTTTGCACTCCTAAGTGCTAAATGCATCATTAGTCATTGTTGTTGTTTTGTCTTCGACTAGGCTCTCGTTGTAGTGTACACAAATCCAGATCATAGAGCGCTAACCTTGTTGGCCAGCGAACAGGCATGCAATCTCTGACAGTCGTGAATGGCGTTGTAGGCACCCTGTCGTTCTGATTTAACTTCAAATCATTGGCAGTTGTTTGCGTTGCACATCCTTAACATGAGTGGGCTCGTCACTTCGTGCTGACCACCAGCGGGTTTTATTTGGCGTGTTTCTTGCCACCGTAAGGGACTTTGTCGGGATTAGGTACGACTATTAGCTCAGTGCCGAATCGCAAGAACTGGCGTTGCGGCATGGTGTCTGGTAATAGGTCTACGTAGTAATTCGTTCCGAAACGTCCACGTCCCGTAGCGGTAGTTGGAGCTATGGTAAGCGTTTCCCGGTTTGGGCGGTGCGCAAATTCGATTTTGACATACCACGAATCATGGCGGTCTGGTGCAGTTAGGTCATGTGCCACTTAAGAGAGAGATGCGCCTTGGCTTTTATTAAGAATCGCGCGGCCAGAGGCCGATCCCGTTGTTCACCATCATCGTACCGTGCTAAGTTGCCGCGTATGTGCGTGGTCACAGCATTCGGTCACCGCGACCTGGTCAGTGTTTCGTTGACCAGTCCCGACCCAGCAAAGTAGGTTTCTATTGAGAACTCCAGATTTCCCCTCTCCTAGAATCCGCAAACTTGAAGCATCCGTAGTTGATTCGGATGAAGCCCAGACCTTAGGCGCGTGCAGTGTAAGCCGAATAAATTACTGCATATCGCACACTGGAGTAAGCAATCGGGCGCCATGTTGGACTCCGCGACCCTACCAGTCTGTACTTGCATCCCGGTGCCCAGTGATGAGTTAGTAACCTTGAGATGACGATTCTATGCGCCACTAGCCGGGGCCGAATAAATAATTAGCGCTCCCGTGGGGAGAATACCAAACGCGAGCTATCGTTTTTGCCAGCAGTAATGCTGTACCCTAGCAAAATCGGTCGGATATATGCGTGCGTCCGATTGCTCGTCGGTGCCACCTCTAAAGCAGACTGAAATAGAGATGGGTAACAACACAGACGATAAAAGCAACTGAACAGTTATTTCCGCTTAATTTACAGAAAAAGAGATTTCTCTTCGATCCTTGTCGTTGTCAGTATAAACGTGAAATAGCAACTAATGGGAAATGAACGTTGCCCTACACTGAGATGATGTCAAGTAAGTGGATCGTGGGGTGTGGTGGAACGCGCCTCGTACCCACGCACATGATCTGCCACTCGGTAGATCACTAACATTACATGCGTCAAATGATGGGCGAGTAACCTGCGTAAGTGTCTGGAGTCGTTTACTTGCAACCTAACCAGGTGTTTGAACACATTTCACGCTAAGAACCTCAAGCTGTCAGGACGCATGGAGTATCTTTGCTGGCGTGACTGTTTGCCCAACTGCTTCGTTTCTTCATAGTTGGCTCCGGACCCAGTATGTCCTCGAACCATCTATTTATAAATGTGAAAAGATAGTCGGTCTTGCAAGGGCTTGGGCCGGCTGTTGACAGAGTGAGACGCCATCATGCGTATCGGTGATGGCAGCATAAATCATGCTAGCCCCACAAGGCATCTGGGTTATTTGTGGTATCTCATCGCCATCACTACGCAGGTAACGGGTAGATTAGCAGCGACCCTGGAAGTTTTGGGAACAGCTGAATGTTTTCTATCACAACAGGGCGGCTCGCAGTCGCTGCGATGACTGCGCGAGAGTATCTTTGACCATTTCATACAGGTGGCTTAGGTGCAGTCACCGCTGCCACCCGCAGCAGTTCGGTGCTTTTGTCAAACGGCTCAGCTGTACAGGAGGTGACGACAGTAAGGTAAGTTCAAAACCTGACTTGATGGACCGTCAACACGCGAATGGCCTTTGGGCCTATACTATTCTGCTGTCGCTGCGCGAAGATAAATCCTTGAACGTACTTGATCGGCCACTGATGATCGTTGTGCATGTAGAAGTTCCACTCAAGACACCACTGTGGCCGCTTGTTCCGGACGGCCGTATGACATGCAAGTAGGGATTCAGACACTAAGTAAGGTGTCGACACCTTCATTTGGAGGCTGGATCGATTGTAATGTGTCTGCTCGTGCCGCTTACGTACTTTTCGTAGGATGTAATAGTCAGTACATTGGCTAGCTTCCGTTACTGGTTTTCGTTGGCTTACGTATACAGTCCTGAGCCCAAAGGCTTCCAGCCGAGAATTCGAAGTACCCTAGGACGTGGTCGCCGGAATTGTTCAAAGCGGTTTCCGTCAGTCACATCCGCTCGTATTCAGTCGCAGTGAGTGGATTTAATTGTATGATCGAAATGGTTGTGAGCCCTGTTGGTGTCGACTGCCATTGACACCGCGTAGGAAGTACAGATAAATGCGGTGCTTCAGGACGGATAGCCTCGTGACCGCGACGGTTTACATTTAATAAACTACATTTAATCTTTTAACAACATTCTACACCCACATGGGCGCCCTTGCTTGCTTTCGAGCGGATGATTTTGTTTCTGAGCCTTTCACGTGTATGCTTGGAGAGGTATTGCGACTTCTGGTCAGGAGTATAGCATATTCGGCTGTCCAAAGTAGACGCTTGTATAGTGAACTCGACCCAACGCCCGGTCGCCCCACTCTATCCTGACAGTGGCATTTCCTGCACCGAATGACTAACTGGTCCGCAGAGTCGCCCTTGTCAGTATGCCTGTCCCAAACTATAGGCATTTGGCTCTTAAACGGTCTCCAGACTAGAGTGAACTTGCATCTGGGGCGTCGCGTCCTCGCTCGATCCACGAAAAATGGTCGTAAACTATGGGCAGAAAACCTCGGCACTGCTTAACCGACAGGTTTCAAAGGTGTTCTGCAAGCAGGCCAGAAGAAGAGCTTTGCATCATAAGGGACACAGAAAACGCTCAATGGAAATATATCAAGTTAACATGACGGGCGGGTAGTTGGTCCATCCATTCCTATCCATTTGGTTGGGAATGTTTTATTTGCGAACGGTCGTGGATTAGGTAAGATGTGGTTGCGTTGCCCCACCTGATGGACACAATATTGTTGGGTTGGGTTCGGTTTAGGGCTGCGATTAAGGGTTAGGGTTGGGGCTAGGGTTATGCGTTAGGGCAACTATTCCCCAACCATGCAAAGTACAGCCGCGGATCCCAATAGCATTTCTCTTGCATGCAATTGCCTGTGCGTCCCCCGGCCCCACCTGCAAAACTCTTATCACCACCGGTCCCTTACTACAGGCGGCTGGGGTTTGCTTACTTCAGGTGGGGCTACATAATCTCATCTGACCGTAGATTCATTGATTGATGGGATGTCCTACCCTGCACCTAAGGATTTACTTTAAGCAATGAGGGTATTCTGCAGTATCGTAAGGGGACTTCCGCCATTACCTGTTTTGTTATAGCATAACACTGAAGCTCATATTTGCTTAATCGTCTCACGGACATTTGCCACATCGAGTATTTTTTTTCTGATTTATCGTTAGACTCATTCGTCTGCCACTCTAGGTCCGCTAGTCCAACAACCTGACGATTGACAGCCCATATGACTTTAACTGACCACTTGTGCTTCTAACGGTCCTCACTATAACTGACTCAATCAACTCCATGCTGTAGGTTCGCTGCGTGACCAATGGTCCTCCATTGCAATCGGTCGGCCTCTGACTCCAAAAGAAAGATGAATTGGTTGGCAAACCGAAGACAAGAGGACCAGGAACGCGTTGGGGACTAGCTCACACCAAAGACTTCACCCACCACATCGCCAGCTAGGATCGAGTGCGACCGAGGTGACATCCCGTTGTTGCGTCCTCCGTGTTTGTGTAGGGAGGACAGTCGACAGAATCATCTCATTCGGAGAATGGAGGAAGGATCCAAAGTTACCCGAATCTGTTGTTGGCTGACTACGTGGCAGTTCGCCGGATACGCAATCAGAAAACGGAGTTCAGTGAGAGAAAACCATGCACCACTAATTGAATGCGTTTGGGAATTCGATGTACCAGTTCCTCAATCGCAAATTTTTACATAATCTGCCGTCCTTCTTTCCAGTGACTAGGCGAATCGTCGCTGGGGCCGTTTGTGCACTGGATCTTACCCGTATAGTAGGCTATTATGTGGTAGAACCTGGAAGCGGTGTCCGGATGTTGTTTTTGCATGTTTAATTCAGCCAGACGCGTCACCGCATGACCAATTAAACATGGTCCTTTATGGTGTAAACTAGGCGGCGTCATTGTCTTGTAGGGATTTTCTACCATACTCTGCCAGCAACCCGCTTAATATCTTATTAACCAGACTTTCGAGGAAGCTGAGATGCGTTTTGCTTGGCGTACTGTCTGCATCGCTTCTATCCCTGTAAAGACTGGTATTTCTTGTAATAGATCCTTCATTCGCACTCCCCAAGCTCTGAATGGATTACCCTATATATGCTCGCGCCAATTTTCCCCTCTCGTAGATCAACGATTAGCATGTAGAGAAGAACGCACTACTGTAGACGCCATATGCATATCAATTTCTTGATTATTCTTCTGCCCTGAGCACTGTTCCACGCAACGTCTCTCTTGCGAAAGCATCTGAGTGCCGTACTTCCTGCTGGATTGTCTTCTATTTCTCAGATTATTTTTCCGTCCGTACTCAGCGTGTTTTGTCTGCCGGTCGGAAATCTAGTCTTTCTAATGACTGTTGATCTCAGAATGGTCATGAGAAAACAGTCTTCCGAATCGCTCGATATTCTGCCTCTTTCCGATTTTTTTGTGTTATCCCGTCTTCTAGTTGCATTCATGCTCTGGATTCGTAGGCTTGTGTACTACGTTCAGCGTTTGCTTTCCTATCACACCCTTCACAACCCTTGGGCTGACTATTTGTCCGAAACCTGCTGAGGTTTTCTATCTTGCATTTATAAAATGAATACAAATGATATTCCGACCTGTGTGCATTTATCCATTACCTTTCGTCCTTCCATGGTTTTATATTATTTGGGAACTGTATAATCACTCTTCACCAATGTAGGCGATGGCCTGTTTAGTTGGGACCCAGTAGCCACAGAATGTGTTTTTGATTGGGACTGTTTTCCTCGTGGTTAATCTCATTGGTCTACTCGGCAAGCGAACGAGACTGCTTTGGGCGTGTGTGCCTCGGAATCCTGCAAACATTGCGTTTGCCTTTTAAGTAGAATCCCATAAAGTAGGTCATGTGCTGAAGTTTCGGTCGCAGGGGTGACTGCTGGAACCTACAAGACGCCTGGAATTGATGGAAGTCTGCACCTATAGCGAGGACTTGGTCAGTCGACCCGTGCGCGTCGATTTGTTGTCCGCATACAATGGCTTGCGCATCTGAACGCGACCTCTGTTGGCCTCGTTGCAGTTGTCATTCCTGAGGTGGCGGAGTGAACTGCTGCACGAGTTGGAGAGACGGAACAAGTAAGTGAGCCCGACGCTCACCTATTCTTTGGATCTTTAATTCGCATAAGTACCGCGGATTTGAACTTTTGCCTGCATTCATGGACGAGACTTCTTTGGCGACTTTAATTCGTTTAGTGTTTTACGGGGGTCATGTAATTTTTGTCGTTCAATGTGCCTGGCATCTCAGAGGACGAAGGTGCGATCACTGGAACTGGAACTGCCTGGCATCACTAGTAGTTTCAATGGCTGGATGCATCAGCCTGTCTGTCACGAACGACGGTGTTTACCGACCGTGTGCCCCACAAGAGGGCGGGTGCAGGGCCTGTGACTCGCACAGCATCTCCCACCTGAGCATGTCTCAAGACAGGTGTAGGAAGGCGGGAGGAGGGTCCAATGCCCGACAAGGTCAAGCAGCCCGCCTACGCGTCCGCTGCATGACCGGACTCCCGCACAGGCGGTGGACGGCTCGGATCTCACATGCCTGAGAGTGCCTTAGTGGTGACACTAACGAGCCTTGAGCCTCACCCAGAGCCCAACAGTCGGTTTCTCCATACAAACACAGGGCTGGCTGCGAAGCTTGAGCCGCACTGCCAGTTGGCAGTCTTCCAAGCCATGACACTTGGCGCACCGTGATTTATTCAAGCGCGCCGGATGTATAATAGTGAGGAATCCGCTGAGGCGCCCTGGCGATGGAGTTCGCAGAGTCGGCTTCACTCCTCTCTTGTGTACCAATTGACCGTTTGAACCGACAGGGCAACGGGCTCGTGGCCCAGTGCTTAGAGGCGTGGACTTCTAACTAACAGGTCGCGAGTTCGAGCCTCGGGTGTTCTACACTTCGGGGTTGGGTATGACTGGCTGACGACGGCTAATAAGCCCCGGAAATGGCCACTCCAGTCTCCATTTGTCAATAATGCTATTCTGCCTATACCATGTACCGCAGTGCGGCAGTTGGTTGGGCTCGAGAGAGAGAGAGAGACCCCGTAAGTCACAACGGAGCGAGTGAGTTCCGTATGAACGATCGGTGAGCGCCCCCTACCACTGTCAGTCATCTCTTGTTGGAATTTGTTGCAGTGGCCGGCAAAGCCACGGGGGCCCGTCTACGTGTGCCACACACGACCTCGGTGGTCCCCGAGTTGCGCCAGTAGGCATAATTTTCAGTGACGTGAGAGTTGCATGTTCTGTGCAAGGGCGAGTCGTGTTTGACTGGGCGCGCATGGTCGAGTAGACCCGTGCGGTGATTGAATGTGCGTGGGCAATTGAGGCGGGTGCAGGTTGGTTCGTCAGTTTCGGTGTGATGGAATTGCAAGTGACCGACCAGGTCGGTGCGCGATGTGGAGGCGCTACCGTAATAGAATCGGGTTGGGATTGGTCCGCAGTGTTGGCGCAGAGACTGGTTGTGGCGTCGGGAGTGTTGTCATCAGTGATGGGGGTGTTGGTCATTGTAGTAGTCAACACGAGGCTTACGATATTTGTACCAATGGGCGGCTGGGCACAGAGGTTTACCCGCCAGTGATGGCGTCCGTTGGCATCGTCAAAATGATGACAGGGATTGGGTGCTGAAACCGCTTGTCCACGAGATTTGAGACTCGCGAGCCGCTCTTTTTGGCAATCCGGTTGGCTTTGTTTGGTGCTGCTCCAGTCTTCGCTGCCATTCTCCAAGCCGGTCGATCCTGGGCGAGATCCTTCCAGGCAATTGCAAACTGAGTCATGCACGTGGCGGGATGTTCGGTTGGCCTTGGAGATCGGACGGGCCACTTTGTCATCGATCTTGGTATTCCGTGAAATTGTGCCCCTGAGTTATGCGGATGTGCCCACCGATGCAAGTTGGCTTCCGTTGACTTTTGTAGGGAGTCCGGGCGCGGTTTGTGCATGATTACCGTCTTATCCGCGTTAATGGCCAGCTCGAAGTTAGAGCAATTGGAGGCGAGGAGGTCCACACTCCGTTGTTCGTCCTCTTCCCTTGTGGTTTTCAGCGCCCAGTCATCCACGAACAGTAGTCAGTGGACGCTGGCCGTAGATATCCACGAATGTGCTTTCAGGGGACGGATGTTGAACAGTTTTGCGTCGGTCTGGCAGTTGATGTCGATCCCCGGCTGCTCCTCACAGTAGGCGTCCACCGGCATGGCGGAGAGAACATGAGGCCAAATCGGGTGGCAACGAGTACGCAGCACTGCTTCGCCTTATTGGCAATCGTAAATGCTTCAGATACTTTCCCTAGCGTGAGCCATCATTCCATCGTGAAGTTGGCGCATAATTTGTCTAGTGGTCAGGACTTCCAAATTCGACATTACTTCCCAGAGGCCATCGCGATTGACCGTGTCGAAAGCCTTCGTCAATTTGACGACGACTGACCTCCGTCTGTTGGCACGTCTCCTGTAGTTGATGGGGTGCGGCGATTATTTCGATGGTTCCACGGCTCCTACGAACTCCACGCGGGCATTCTGGGAGAAGTCCCTGCTTCAGGGGCGTGTTCAGACGGTTGAGGACACGAGTGAATATTTCACTGCGATGTTGAGCAGCGAGATACCTTTGTGACTTACAGAGTTGCCAGTTTTCTCTGAGGTAGTATATGTGGACGATAGTCGCCCCCCTATGAAGTCCCGAGGTATCTGCCTTTGTGGGAGAGTGAAGTTAACCTGTTCGTCAGCCGAAGGTCTCCGTACTTGTAGACTTCGGACGCAATTGGCCTTGAAATGTCGTGGTATACTTTATGATTTTCAGCGTTTTCGGCCGATTACCTGTAAAGGTAGATTTTGTATTATGTGCAGGTTAGTGTTCCTTTCCAAGGGAGGGAGCCGGCCGACAGCGGCGTCGGAAACTGTGAACGATCGACCGAGGACGCATCTGAAGTGTTCGGCTCAGCGCTTCCAAATTTCTGATTTCTCAGTGAAGAGCGGTGGCGCAGTTCCTTAGGTGCGAGAGGCCGTAGACCACCTTGCTTGAGGCGGAAAAATATTGTTACGGTCCGCGTAGCCTTGTTCCTCTTCAACCTTGAGACCCATCCAGGCATTTTTCATCCGCACACCATCTAAAAAAGGCAGCTTTTTTCGTGTGGGTCCCGCGGTCGACGTAGACTGTGTGCAGCCTGGTCTTCTCGAAGAGTAGATTACAGATTTCTCCGTCGCTGTCGACAAATGAGCCCTGATGTTGGCGGCGTACGCGACCAGGGAAGTCCACGACGTTTTGCGGTTGGCGTCAGTGAATCTCCACAGGGGCGTTGCCTTCCGGAGTTCACCTTTCTTTCAGGCGATTGGTCGGTCGATTGCCGAAATCGAAGAAGTGAGCAGACGCGTTGAACAGAGTGCTACTTAGTTTACCTTGTAGTCTCCTTCGAGGTTGCAGCTGAGGTTTTATCCTTGAGATGACAAAGTGGTGATGTGTTGCAGACCGCCTTGGTCACCGGCACGTCCTGCCGATCCCATCTCCGAACATAGTCCAGCAGCTGCCAGCGCCGTGATCGTAGGTGGATCCAGGTTGCCTTTTCGCCCGTCGAAAGGCGGGAAGTGTTGGTGAGGAGCAGGAGGAGCCTGCGGTGGCGGTGTTCTTCGCAGGTATGCAGAAGAAAAAGAAGAAGAAGGACGATAAGGTACTCCAGAAGGTTCCCGCATCGCGAGCGGAGATGCATCCACGTTGCTTCCTCCCGTGTCAAAAGATGTTGAAGGATTTTCGGGAAAAGAAGGAGACCGTTGTCGTTGCAGCCATAAGGACCCAACGCTCCCTCCCGGCTAGCGTGCTCCATGCTGACGAGGGTGTAGACTTAACCAAGGACACTCAGTTCGTCCGACTTCAGCACAGTCACCAGCAGGACGTGCAGGTTTTCGCAGTACTTGTTCTTTGCTTCATCAGAACTGGCCACTGGGTGGGGGGAAGCGTATGTGCTGACTATGGTGGTGAATTTGGTTCCCCCTTAGAGGCAGGCGCAGGGCCATGAGGTGGTTGCTGATGCCCTGCGGCAGACAGGGCAGTCGTTTCGGATAGAACAGGAGACGCCGGCGTCTTGCCGCTCTGTCTTTGGGCGGCCGCTCCAAGATAAGGCGTAGCCAACATCCACCCGCTCCCCGGCTGACCCTGTTCGGAAAATTGGGTCACCATGTACTGCGCCTATCCTCCAGTGACTAACGCTGTCCTCCTTTCCGGCCGGTCGTCCCTCAGAGTGTCTAAAAGGGAACATACAGTCTAGGCCACCACAGTATGTAGAGCCACTCGGATGGCCTGTAGGATGGGGCAGAAGGGGGTGGGAACGAATGTTGCTGTTTATTTGGTTATTTTGGACGCAGGTTTTGCGTCTACAAGCCATAGTCATCTTGCAGACGGCGCGACTTCCCGGCATCGACCCAGGACACCTCCTCTAACCCCATCCCCTTCGCGGAGGCAAGCATCTCAGGCATACACCATGGGTTAGGGCTTTCCTTCGATAAGCTGACGGCTCAAAATAGCCTGGGCCGTCTACTGGATCGCTTTCGTTCACTCCATAGGACCTTTTCGGTTTTCGGGAGAATAGGACGAGAAGTATAAGCCCTGGACGTTGGATATGCACGAAACACACACCCACGTACCGACTACCCTCATCTGGTTTAACCCGCTGGCCGCTGAGCTGTGGCCGCCAGGCGGATCCTAGTTTGGGGTTGCCACATGTGGGCATTGGCTGCCTATGTGAGGGGCCGTGTGGAGTAGTAACCACCTGCACGACGCACACGGAGCGACCTTTCGCCCCTGCACACCCCCTGCCGGATGTACTTCAGATGTAAAGAAACCTACTTTCATGTAATTGAGGCTTCACTTTCACTTCAAAAGAAGGACCTAAACTAGTGATTATTAGACCCTTCTAAGGTACACCGGATGTAAGCTTTCGAGCAAAAACACAAGAGCTGAGAACCAACTTATACATTTTCCTAGGTACTCAAAGCCCCCCTAAATAGTGTAGTCGCGTATGTTTGCACAGAATCCGAGCCGCTTTGATACCATTTCAATGCAAGAGCAAAGACAACCTTGTCAGGGCTGAGGTCTACGTGGGGGCAGTATTACCAAGCACTTCGAACGGTCAATCAAGCATACGGCGCGGGGACCGGGAGTACGACTGGTACCATGTGCTCACGAGTGTGCGTCTGTACTAGAGCCTGTACAGTGACTTCGCCACGGGGTGGTACGGAACTCTATCCGAATACGATCGTAACTGAATTTCATTCTATTGATGGCGCGCCGAAGATGGGGTGGGGGAAGGAATTGCAGCCGGGAAACCAGATGCGTAACACCGATCAGTTTAGTCTGAACTAGGAATCGTGACCACAGGGAAATACTACTACTACTACTACTACTACTACTACTACTACTACTACTACTACTACTACTACTACTACTACTACTACTACTACTACTACTACTACTACTACTACTACTACTACTACTACTACTACTACTACTACTACTACTACTACTACTACTACTACTACTAATAATAATAATAATAGTACTACTACTAATACTACTACTACTGCTCCTACGACTAATAATAATAGTGCTACTACTACTACTACTGCTACTACTACTACCGCTACTACTACTATTACCACTGATACTACTACAGACCATCAGGGCAGTACACCGTCTGTAGGGTCGTCGCAGAAGTTGCGCTTGTGAAGTACGTTTCAGACGCTTGCAGTCGACCCTTGGACAGGAAGATTTCGTCGAATCACTTCACCCCGGCGACAATTGTTGAATCACTTTGTGCGTGCTAATTGTGCCTTTACGTCACCAGAGATACTGACACATAAGTCTGCTCGCCATTCTCCGCCGAGGAAATGCTCATTTCTACTTCGTTTATGCACTTGCTGCGTGAGAGCTGCCGCCGCGTCGACTGAAATGATCGGTGCGGTCTTCACGAAGAGGTAGCGAGAGTTCCTTAAAACCTACCAGTCTAGCGGCAGCGGTATTAATCATCATGTCGAACTCGATGCCCACTGTATAGGCCTACGGTCTCGTCAGTCGTCTTCGTCGTCGTTGAAGTCCGTCAGCTACTGCGGAGTAACCACTTAATATTCACAAACCGGCAACCAGTAGTATACAGTTGTGTAATTATTTACTATACTGACGACACGGGTACTAGCTAAAAACCCAGACACGCGTGTTTCGCCGATCGTGTGCCGCTGTCTGACGCAGCTACTAGGATTTCGGCTCATTAGTGGGTCCCCCAGCCTCCCCCCATGTGGTTTCTGGCATATGAACTCCAGTTCCACCCTGCCTTGTTTAATTTCCGAGGGAATTAATGGACAAACCTGAAGTAGATCCTTCCGAACAGAACTCTTTAGACACGACCCGAAAGTTGAAAGGTCTTTTCCGGAGAATTTTGCTCCAAGAACGCGCATTAGAGAGGTTTGTTTGAGGTCTGACCTTTTGATTACTGATTTCG